TGGAAGGGACTGTGATTTTGGAAATGAGGATGGTTTTCGAAAGGAGTGGGAGTCGCTCAGGAAGTGGCACGAGGATCGGATGAGAGACGTGAATGTGATTGCTGACAGAGATCTCATCGTGGGGAGGAGGAGGGGTTGTGGTGGTTTAAGCAAGGTGTACGAAGGCCAATGGAGGCGATCGAGAGTTGCTGTCAAGAAAGTGGATTATGAAGTGCATTTCAGCCTGGAAGAGTTCGCAGAAGTTTGTAAGGAGGTGTCCTTACAGATGTCACTGAACCACCCGAACGTCGTCCGAATGTATGGGATGACTACATCTGGGTGGATGGTGATGGAACCGGCTAATGGCGACTTGAGCACCCTGCGGACCGATGTGACAAGGACGTGGTACACAATGATCGACATTCTGGGGCAAGGGGCATCTGGACTGGAGTATGTGCATAACAGGCGACCTCCCCTAGTTCATGGCGACGTCAAGGACACAACTTTCTTGTACATAGAGACAGGCGCTGACAGGTACAACGTAAAACTTGCAGATTTTGGGCTTACTACAGATGTGCGGAAATGGGAAACGGACACCATGAAGAGCATCATTGCAACCCCTTTGTGGAAAGCACCAGAACTTTTGAATGGCAACAATCCCTTCCTTGCGTCCGATGTTTTCAGCTTCGGCCTCATCATGTACGCGCTCGTGACAGGAATCGTGCCGTATGGCTATGGAACAAGGGAACTTTCAGTGGTGAGGAAGAAGCTCGAAGGGGAGCTACCCTGCGCAGTCAAGAAACATCACTGCGCTGAGTAGATGCGCAACCTGATGGAGCGGTGTGTTGCAAGGGCGCCAGGGGACAGGCCGACCATGAGCGAGGTCGCCGAATGCCTTTCAAAGCTGCCAACAGACTGGCAGAACCATGGGGTGCGCGCCAGCGCTCAATTGTGAGGAATGGGTGGTTTGCATCCTGGACGCCTAAATCGTAGTTTTGGCATCTTGAATAGAGTGGCCTGCCAGACTGGAGGGAGGCTTCCACAGCTTCAATCAGGACAAACTAGCGAACGCCATCGCTGACTCCTGCGGCAGAAACTTGGGATCAAACGTGGGGCTCCAAAGGGGATGGGGGACGAACGGTCGAGGCATTTGGATAACGGGATGCAGGCCCGATCGCTGCGATTCCCTGTAAATGAATCACGAGCTTATGAGCGTACTCTGTACAGTACACAAGCACTCTCCGTCTTTTAAGCATTTGTGAACATTTCGGAGCATTCGCGAAATCGGAGATCACCACACAAAATTCAAGTAAAAGCATGTAATTTTGATCACATGCTTACAATATGCTGCAATCCTGTAAAGTGAAATCACATTCGGGCTGTGAGCTCGCTGGTCACTGGTTATGAAATCATAACAAAACCACACCAGTTTTCCCTGCAATGGTTCGCCAGCGCCAACGGTCCGGTTGAAAGAGGGAGAATCTTTTAGAGGGACCGTGTATCATGGGTGGCAAGCGAGCCGACGCCATATCTGGGTGCTACGTATAGCCATATACGATGTATAAGCCTAAATACGAAATCGGGTATTCAACAACATGCGTACATTTTGTTAAGATGTAGCCACAGCGGCATGCCTGATGAGCAAATGTGGCGTCTCTACGCATCAGGTATCCGCGTACAGAATCTGAGTACTTCGATGGAGACATCCACCCACATCAGACACCCTTTCAATAGCCATACACGATGTATAAGCTTAACTACGAAATAGGACATGCAAGAACATGCGTATATTTTGTTAATGTGTAGCCACGGCGGCATGCCTGATCAGCAAAATGCAGTGTCTCTACGCTTCAGCTGTCTGCGTAAGGAATCCGGAGGACTTCGATGGAGAGATCCGTCCACAACAGACTCCCTTTCAAGCATGTGCGCCCAGTTCATGTAGGTACATTGGGATAGTACTTTGCGGTTCTTGCAGCAGTGACTACATGCAAAGCACACAACAGAGGCTGGACGTTGTGCTTTGTTTATCCCTAAATATGAGCGCCGTCTGGGTCCCTTGGACCACGCATGTCGAGTGGGAACAACATTAATCATGTTGTTTACGACTCGGAAAAATGTTCGGCCTCTGATGGGCCTTCTACTACACAACATCTTGCCTTGAATGCCGCTTGCCGCACAGACATCAAAGTAATGTGTTGCTGAACTATTTGCAGGCGAAAAATAGGAGGTAAATGACCATGGTTCTTGTTTCCTCAGAGCAACTTTAAGAAGTAATTTATTGGTGGCAATTCGTGCGTGGAGTTGAACGCCCTTTTTTCAGGTGTCTGTGGCGCTTGCGCGTCCACTTGAGTCGAGCACGTCATTTAACACCCCTCCCCCCCCCCCCCCCAACCAGCCGAGTCTCTAAAGAGCAAATTTGCTCCTGTCCCAGTACTTAAACCCCCGCCAACAGCCGGCCGAATCCAGATGCCACTAGATGCAATGTTACCATTCCCGCCCAGGAAACCCACTCCGATTTCTGGCACTTCCCCCCCGCCTTGCCCCGCCCCGCCCAGGCCCGCCCCTCCAGATATTCTGAACGCACCGGCCCGCGTCTCGCCAACCTCTTGGCCGCTGACGGAGAGGCAACACGATGAGACGCAAGGCCCGCTGCCCCTCGAGGTGCCCTTTGAGGCCGCCCGTGCTCTGGACTGGAGGAACTGGCCCACGCCTTGTCAACTGACCCACGAGGGAGGGAACTGACCCAACCCTTGTCAACTGACCCGCGAGTGAGTGCACTGACACATGAGGGAGGGAACTGACCCACGGTGCGGATCATGGGCACCGATCCGTGGGACGCACGGAAAAGACGAAACGAACGATAGTGCAGATTGAAAGGAACCGACCCACGACGGGGACTGAAAGGACCGAACCACTTTGGGGATGGGATGTGCTGATCGAACTGACTAGTGGAACAGTTGGGAGGGGGCTAAGTCAACTGACCCACTTATATTTTTTTGGGGACGGATTGACCCATGGAAAGGCCGCGAGGAATCGACCCACGCCAGGGACTGTGGCACCGAACCGTGATTGGGAATTACGAAACAAGTCCGCGGGAGTTGCTGGAGGAACTGACCAGCTGGATTGGCCGCGTGACCGATTCTCTTGGCCTCCGGCGCTTGCTCGCTAGCACCGTTCGAGATCGAGCACCTTAATATCAGATGGCCTTGAAGGCGAAAACAAAATGCGAGGGGACGGACGGTGACCTCGTCCGATGCCGGTGCGGGAGGGCGCGGCGGCGGTCGGTCGCCTGGCACCGCTCGAGACACTCAGGGATTCGCAACAAAAGAATAAAAGTCTGGAGCTGACCTTGAGAGTTTGGTTGGGTATCCCGTGCGCGTGGCGAAGGGGAGAAAAAGATACGATGGCCTGTGAACTGGGGCAAAAAGGCGAAGCGTGGGCCTCCTGCCTCCTGGTCACGCCAAGACCAACCGGTGGGACCTCGCCGCCCTCCACCCTTTGCGGTGATCGGGCCTCCCCGCCCACCCAGCCCTGGGCTGCGAATCTGTCATGCTGGGTCGGTACTGCTGAACGTCAGAATTGGCCGCATTGTGTGGCATAATGCTCAACATTAGTTGTTCGACGTGAATATCTGCTTCGCACCAGCGCAAGTGCCAGGAGCCTGTTTGCTTGGAGTGGGTGCCGGCGGAGCGCGTCCTTGCTCCTGCAGCAAATCACCCCTGCCACGGCGGTCCCTTTTGGAAGCATCCTCGCTGCAGGAAGCGGCAGACGCGGTACCTGGTGAACTCCGTCGACGTCTTCGGCCCTCAAGATTGTCGCCCTCATCACGGTAAAGGTCATCTGGCTTGTTCGACCAAAAGGTTACATGATTTGATTAGTGCGGTCAAACCATCGTTTTCGCATTTCGACAGAAGCGATTAGATTTTGACATGCGTGTGGTATGAGTTGTGGCGCGGTGTTGATACAGCCCGTTCGTTGGGACTCCGTCGTGGCCCGTTTGAGTAGACTTGAAGCATAGAAAACGCATAGAAAACCTTGTCGTGGCTTTCCTTTTAGGAACGGCGCTGTCCACCAGAGAGAACGAATGGCTCTGTAGCAGCCAGCGCATCCGACGCCCAGCACGTGGCAGCTAAATGTGGTCATAGCATTCGATAAGGAATTGAAAACAATTCGAGGACCCGCACTTGTGTGCTTATGCGTGGTTCTCGACATCCTCAAAATCAGAAAATGCCCCACAATGCGATATTTGCCAAAAGCACCGTGAGGATTTGCTTGGACTGTGGGCGTTGCTGTTTGAAAGGCCAATAGTGCCTTACCAGGTCACAAAGTGCAAGGGGCCGCTCTCCTCAAGAACCATCTCGAAGGAGTCTTCTGCAGAAGCAAGGGACGTTTCAGCGACTGTAGACTGAAGGGATGTGATGGGGATGGTCTCCATCTCCAGACTGTGGGATAGGTGGGTTGGACGGAATCTTAGATGTGGACTTCTGCACTTGGAGCATGCCAGATGGGGCAAAACTCAGAGCCAGCGGAGCTGTTCTCCTTCGCACAGTTCTTCCTGTTGGTATTGTTTTCGGTTGCTTTGAGCTGGTGGACTTTTGGGCATCGCTGGGCTGAGTCACACAGGCCACATTCCAACCCATTTTTCTGTGCTGGACGCCCTCTCCTGCCTTTGCCTGTGCAGTGTTGTTGGCATCAGTCCAATCAAGTTGCCAGCACCTATCATGATTCGATTCAAATCAAACTGGAAGCAACAGAAGCTAGACAAGTCCTGTAACTCTGAGTGTGTGTTGACCTGTTGAAGCTGAGCACGGTCCCATGCTGTTTCATCAATCTCAAGTTGTGGGTGGAATAGGCAGTGGCTCTCAACCATGCTTACAGCCCATGTGTGTCATTGTTCTGCCACAAGCTCTGGAGACCTAGCTCCACTGGTGCACATCGGAGAACCAAATGGGCTGCAGCAAAAGGGTTTGTGTGCCTCTTTTGAACAGGTGATTAGCTCTTTTCCAGTATCAATTATCCCAATGTGTGCTCGCCACAAGGGCTGCAGGTTGTTGCTGTTGGTGGTGGCACTGCTTGCTCGTGAGGCTGGGGACAGTTATGTGGTCACCAGCGCCCCTGAAGGAAGATTTGCATACATGGCAAGTCTGAGGAATCATGAAGATGTGCACGTCTGTGGGGCAGTTCTCATTCACCCAAAAGCGCTCCTGACAGCAGCGCATTGCTTTGATGAGTATTCGGGTGTCGCTGCAAGGATTCGTTGGGTGCACATTGGAGCATATGACGTTGATGACAACGAAGATCAAGGTGTTCAGGTGCACCTTCCACTACAAACTATGGTTGTTAACTACAGCTGCATAGCTGTGATATCTAATTTCTGTTGAAATAATGTGACAGCTTGCAAGCATTCTACTGCATGACCCTTTTATGATTTTGTCATGGCTCTCTTCTTTGCTGAATGTGTGTAATTCGTTGTATGAAGGGCTTTTTTTGGTAAACTTGTGACCTGATAAGGTACAGGATGTCCCTATAAAGCCACTCAAAGATCGTTTGCTGAGTCCTGAATATACCATCATGGAATATGCGAAATGTAGAAAGTCATCTTGTCCACATGCTGTGCCATAATGGAAGAGTTTTTTTTCCTTGGTGCTGTAACTTGCTTGTCCAAATGCGCAGATGGTGAAGATCAGCAAGATCACAATCCACCCGAACTACACAGCTGGTCGCCTGCAGGGGGGCTATGACATAGCCCTCCTGCAGTTGAAGGATGTGGTGACAGGAATTGATATACCTGAGCTTGCAGATCCCCACCTCTTCCTGCATTGGCAGATGAACCTATACGCACTGGAGTGGTGGACTCACCTGAAGGTTATTGGTGGTCGACCTTGTGCTGTGAATGGTCACCTTCAGCTGTACTTGAAGGTCCCAGTGCATTTTTTCGAAGACACATGCAGAGGTGAGCATATTTGCATTGTTGGTGTGGCGTTGCTGCATCAGTTGGCAGTGACGCCATCTGCTGAACAGTATTTGTTCATTATTATTGTGAAGGCAAGGGAACGATTAAAATATTATATTATGTGAATGGCGTTATGGTGAATGTACATGGGGACAATGGAGAGAACATTATTGCAGTGACTGGTATTTAGACGGATACGCTCATTCTGTAGTGCATCTGGTTACAGCCTTGCTTCTCGTGCCTGGAAGTGACCGTGTGCGAGTGCGGAAGTGTTCGGTCAACTCGATCATTATTCTCGTATGTGTTTGTGCTGAGATGCATGGCCCTGGGAATGAATGAATAAACACCTGGGAGTAACAGGTTATGAGGAATGCGCACTGCTTTGTGCCTGTAGTTGCGATAACATTGGGACTCAATCAGCAGGCATGTGTTGGTTTCTTGCTACTTGTGTACGAAATTGCTGATGCAAGCTTTTGATGGCAACCAGTGTATCGCATGAGTTGTCTTTTGACAATGTCATGCAATCTGCAGTATATTGGAGTTTGTATGTTTGAATCACTTCAGACCTGCAGACATCTCACAACTGCGATCATGAAAAAGATCCAAACTTCTGGACAGGAAATACCTTGCACTGTGTTGACAAAGTAGGATTGCAGTTGACTGTGGATACCGAATTTGCATTTGAAATGACTGTTTTCGATTTAAAGTTATGATGGGCCACTCACCACAGAAAGCTGTGGGTATTCAGGTGACCGTGGTGGACTAGTGTTACTTCCTGATATGCCAAGAGGCGATTTCGTGAATGGGAGTCCAAGGAAGGACCTCATTGTTGGCGTGGCGGCATTTGACCCAAACTGCAGCCAATCTGACAATATTCGGTCTTATACGAGGGTCAGCGCAGTGAGGAAATGGATAGATGAAACCATAGAGGTGAAAAGACAGCTGACAAATATTTCGATTCACTTCTCATTTCTGTATATTTGAAAAAGTCGGTGAGCAGCATCCTGCTAGCAACTGGTATTTAATGATAAGCTGCAAACTAATGTATATCAAATCAATGTCAAAGCATCCACTAACTCTAGTTGCTTTTGGTCACTTGGAGGCGCTAGCTGCTGCAGTTTCATGTTTCAGCTATGTTGTATGTTGCTTTGCACACTGTGAGCAAACAGCAACAGTCCATGGTGCCTTCCAAACAACCTCCATATTCTTCTCTGCTGTTCTTAACCTGGTGAAAATGGATCCCCACAACAGGGTTTGGATTCCACGATTCGGTGCCATGAATGCACTTGCATGCGTGTTGCTCCATTTCAGCAATTGTGCAATGGCAAGCAAGGAAAATAGATTTGATTAGTGTTCAATTTCGTACAGTTTGTAGTGCATTGCCTCAATCATGATCCAATAATGCCCATTCATGTCCAATGCAATGCCTGTGAATGGTGTGTCTGCTAATTTTTGGCCAGTGTCTGACACAGGCATCCAGTGTTGCGCGTGACTGGATTCCAGGTCCTGGTCCAAAGCTCAAGTCAACCTTTGCATGCTGGGTAGGGCTGCTTTTATATGATTATTTGTATACCATGTTTTCCATTTCAGCTGGATTCTCCCAATGTGTGCAACATGATACCTCAGTCCTTGGCCAGGAATGAGGCGCTTGCCAGAAGTGCTGTCATAATGCAGTGAAACAGATGGCCTGGTGTGCAAATTCAACCATCGGATATGGCCACTGGCAAACAAGGTGTGCACTTCCGCACTGTGATGCACGTGACACTTGTTGCTCCCTCTGCTCTCTCTATGGTTTGGGGCAGCTATTTTTGGCCATGACATGCCTCTTTTATGGTATTTCACGATTTCTGATTACACGCGCATACAATAAAAGCTCATGAAACTTCTAAGTAGCCCATGTTATTGTTTCTGCCAGATTCTATTCCAAGATTCATGGTCTGTAGTACAAGGGACCCTGCTATTTGCTAAGCTGAAGTGGAAGGACGTGGAGCATAGCCAACAAAACCAGGAGACTCTCTTCAGAGTGTTCACAAAGGAAACCGCAAAAATAGCTGGAGTCCTGGAAGATCGAGTTGTTATCACGGCTATCGAGAACATGAACGGAATTATAGGCGTACGTTATAAAGTAAGTTGGTGTTACTGGACTGCTTTTTGTCACAATTTATTGGAGAAGCAGTGTGCACAACGACCACATTGAACAACTATGTGGTGACTGAAGAGGAAAATTGTTTGAGAGCAGTTATTGTACGGAAATTGTGGAGCTTAAGCAGAATTCAGCTGTACACGGTCCATATTGGACCTGAAACTTATTCAGTGCATGTGCGTTTTGAATTCCCAAATTGGATCAAATTCACTTGGGTTGCCCATAATTCTAGAATTTTCAGGCATGTGTAAACTCTCTTGTATTTTGCCATACAACAGATTTTGCAGATGCACTCCAATCCCAGCAATGCACTGATGCACTGTGAGTCGACAGCTCATCTACCTGGATGGACCTTGCTGGCAATGGAGGTTGAACAACCATCCTACTTTGGTCCTGTCCGTTTTGTTCAGATGTTTGTGTGCAGTTGCATAGGAAAGGATTTGATCACCTTTCGCAAGCCATTATGCTCCAGATGTATTCAATGTTGCAAAACTTGTGTCGAAGTTTTGTACACAGTTTGATGGCTCGTTGCATGCTTTCTGGCCAAACTGAGACAGGTGGTATTTCCAAAGCCATTCTGGCCGTTGAAGGGTTCCCTAACAGGCAGCCGCGAGGCTGACTGGTTTTTGAGGTCAATGCGCGACAAGCATCTGCTTCTTGGGTACCCTGAGAAGTATGGTCTGGATGAAAACAGCAGGTTGCGGATGCAGACATTCCGGGATGTCAATCCAAAAGCTGCTTTCGGTGACCTGCCACTTCCAGTTCCCTATCAGGAATCAAGGGTACGATATGGAACAGGCCAAGTTTCACCACAGTGTTTGTTTCAACGGATATCAGCATCCAAATATTCTGCCTCTGTTGCTGATCCAAGTGGAATGACACAACTGCTGCAGAGCACAATGTTTTTGCCTGCCTTCCTTGAAGCAACCTGTTGCAGGTTCATCATGTTAAGTCGTTGCAACATTACAGACAGACCCAGAAAAACCCACCAACATTCCATACAGTCCAAGTTTATGCAGACTGGAAGCAATGCTTAAATCATGCAGCCAAACCCTATCATGGCAAACTGCATTGCTGTCTAACATCTTCAGCCAGCAGGAACGCAGTATCTGCCCCCTTGAACAAGTGAATCTTTTCGTATCAATATTCTGCTACATTGGAGTAGCCCAGGAAATGAACATGGCCAGTGGACAATGTTGACGTGGTACTATTGTCTTTCAGTACACACCAAACACTATCGCATGCCAACACTCTTTTTCCCAAGCCTTCAATCGTACATATGTACTGCCCAATTCCTTTTCAGATGTCTACCACAACCCCTTAGTGCAATAGCGAAACTGCTTCTCAAGCCCTGTTCAATAACTTGCACTATCATATCTGTTGCCTGCAGCAATGCTCGCATGGATTTTGACTCACTGTGCAGTTCAGTTGGCCAGTGTGTTTGACTGGATGGTATGGGGTGACCCAAGAGGATAAAAATGTGCAGCACAACTGCCGTGTGTGATTTCCGCACTCCTTTGGATGTCACAACGGCGACGAACATCGCCCGGCTGTGTGACTAGTGTTGGCCTTCGATTCCAGCCTCCATTCAAATGGGACTTTCTTTGCACATCACTCTGCATCTCTGTCTGGCCAAGTGTCAAGGGCGTTTTCATGTCATCAACAACATTTGTTGCTGCCACATACATGTCTGTGTACCACAGAAGCGATAGCAAGTAAAAGCCCACATGCACTGCTCACCCACATTGTTCACCGATCATTCCCATTTATCTGGACAATCACCGATGCTAGCCAAGTAATTCGTACTCTCACTTTGTTGTTCTGTTTGTCCAGGACGGTGCTGTGCAGCAACTCGCTATGACCATCAACAACATTGGCATTTGCATTGGCATGATAGCATTGCTGTGTTACATCTATGGGCCACAGGTGCGCTCATAATGCACATCAGAATTCGCAGATCAATTGCATCTAACGACCACACTGTTTTGGCAGCAGGGCAAGATTAGCATCGCTATGTGTTCTCTGCCCATGTTGAGTTGGCAGTGAATCTGTCAGTTTAAAGGCGTTGCTGTGCTGTGTATTTGCTTACATGATCAACAAGTTATGTTGGGAGTATTCCAATATGGTGATCGTGGAAGGACATGCAGAGCATCAATGGTGCCAACCGTGCTGGGGTTCTTGCGCACCAGGGGCGCGCGCCCGCCCAAACCTTCTCAACGCCCTGTATCTTGTCGATGCCATTTTTACACTGCAGTCACATTCATTGATGCCTTCTCCCTTTGACTAGAAATCAAAAATTGGTTATTTTCCACCCCAGAGCGATGCATTAGTACAGTGTGCCTTGATTTATATTGTTATTAATGTGCTACCCTTTCCAATGGGCACAAAATGATGCCAAGACGGCACACCAGCGCACCAAACTCGCCTTTATCAATGGTAAACCCTGGCATCAGTGTGACAGTTGTGTTTTCTACTGCTCAACATGCACCTTTTTACGGATGCCCACTTCCGTGTTAGATTTGATGTACAGCCCTTGCATGTGGAGGCATGCAAAAAGCATAGCACATACAGATACTTCCAGCACAGCAGGAATTCGGAAGATCATGGCCATGGCGCCATTGAGAAACGAGTGTTTATTCAGTCTGGGCAGTTGAATGCCTTGGGAGCCCTGCAGATCAGGATCGATGAATTTTGTTCTTGTGCACAATGGCAAACTGAGCGGCAGCACATTACTGTTGGGGCTGTCACAGCCATCTGCTATTCCCACTTGTGCTGACTCCAAGCACAGAGTTGCCCGTCTATGGGCCATGAGTGGCAATGACAAGCAGAAAATGATCTTCACCTACAGCGTTCTCTCAAGAACCCTCCAACACTTGTAGTATTGGTTGGACGCCTTGTGGAAAATGGGTCATGCTGTGTCAGCATTTTCAGTGGGTTAGTCCCGGGCTACCCATTGGTCGCCTTTGTTACTATTGTTGTTGCTCTTCAACGCTGTTGCTGATGCTATGGATGTCTTGGTAGGCCATGCGGCGACGTGTGCAACGGGCAGTTGTTGGCAGTGATCAGGTAAATTTCTGGAGTGCAACTTAATCCACCATGATGCAATCTTGCCAAGGAAAGTATCAGCCATGAATGGTCACATGACCATTTTCAATTGTTGGCTTGTGCTGTCAAGGTATTTGAATTGTTTTATGGACGAATTTCGAACCTATGCAGGGAGTGGCTCCAATGGGAGAAAGAAGGGAAATGATGGAATCAAGGCCCAAGGGTGGAAATGGCCAGCAGTTGGAGCAAGAGGCAGCTGTTCTTGTGGGGCTGGAGCAACACTCCTCAGGGGAGAGCGACTCATGGGAATCTGTGGCTGCTGTCCCAACGGAGGAAGACAACGACGAGAGCTACATCAGCCTTGATGAAGTGCAGCAGCAACTATTGGGGCTCCGATACAACTCCAACACCATGCACTTTCTGCAGGAGCAGATGGAAAAAGCCCAAGGTCTAGCCACATTGGAGAGTTTGTCAGAGGGAACAACACAGCTGCTGGATGCGGCGCTGAAGCAAGGGCATCGGCTCATCAGGAAACACTCCCAGGTGTTTGATGTTCGACACTTTTACAAGATCGAAGATGCAGTGGAAGCTGTGCAGCTTGTGTGTGTGAAAATCCGCGAAGCTCTCGTGGAGCACGGGTCTCAGATTGCATTCGCAACACCGCAGCAGTGCATTGATAGAGATAGGCAGCATTTGTATGCACACCTTGGCTATGTTCTCATGGGTAGACACTGTGATTTTGGAGCTGATGGTTTTCGGGAGGAATGGGAATCACTCAGGCGATGGCATGAGGTGAAGATGAGAGACCTGAATGTGATTGTGGGCAACGATCTCCATGTCGGGCAGAGGAGAGGTTTTGGGGGCTTCAGCCAGGTGTATGAAGGCCAATGGCGACGCAGGAGTGTGGCTGTAAAGAAAATGATCTCAGTAGATGGTGCCATTCAACTGCCCATGGAAGAGTTTGCAGAGGTTTTCAAGGAGGCATCGATGCTTGCATCACTGAACCACCCC